TATTATCATTGTTGTTAATATTCTTTGAGCGGAGGCTAGCGCCTATTATGCTCACGAAAGGTTCTTCGGATGATTAAGTACAAAAAAATTGATAAGACTGTCGTATTCTTCAATAATCAATAATATTATTCGGTACCGCATTCCAAGCATTAGACACTCGGTTATTCAAAAAATGTTTCTCGCAATTTTAAACGGTGATCACGTAAGCAACCATCGCAGTTAATGTCAAATAAGGTGGACAGATCTATTTTCAGGTGGCCTTTTAATATTTTACTTCCTCTTGTCTTGTTAATAACTATTAAACGACCATAGAAAATCTTTAACCTCTTTACGGGAGGCTGTTAAGCGGTAGTTCTTAAAGCCTTTGGGAAGATTAGGTAACACAAATATGAATAAATTAACTATTTTTACAATTATTGAAATGTATTCTGACCACTTGAGATCATTTTGAATAGTGACACATAGATGCACATATTTTTCGACCTCTGTTATGGGTTCGTCTTCAATTTGATAAGCGAAACGGGCGTTTCTTCCTCCAAGATCGAGAACAGCACACTTTTGTCTGTTGACAGGTAATAAAATTTCACACAACTGCAATACCGTCTTAATGTCGTCAGGTGAGGGTGTCATAATGACTATTAGAATCACTAAGGATTTTAAGGTCATTAACGTAAAATGTGTGGTCGGATTTTAAGAGCCAACTTAGATGTGATATATAAACAGCAAACAAAACGGGTCTGGGAACAGATCCCTGAGGGACACCAGATTTTACGGAATAAGTATCAAAAAATGCGTCACCCGTTCTGTCGGTCTCATAAAAAAACTAAAATCCATTTTAACAGATGCCCTCCAATACTAGCTTCTTTCAGTTTATGTATCAATCTTCGATGAGGAACCTTATCCAAGGATTTTTGGAAATGAAAGTAGGTAAATAACATCAGCAGAATTGTATTGTATGTATTTAATAATCAAATATATAAATCGTTTCGCGCATTAGGTTTTTTGTAACAATTTTTTTGTTATAAAATTTCAACAAGATAATTTCAGCATATTGGTGAAATACAAGCAATAGTACTACTATCTCAACGTATAGTTTTCAGTAAAATTTATTTTACAAATCTAACATTTTCCAAAAATCTAACGTATATATTTAATTAAATTTTTGCAAATGTTACTGTTTCATCACAAATACGAAAAACTCTGTAGAGTAATATTTACCTCTGAGCTAAACCGGAAAATTGTCCTAAATTCCTTTTTTTAATTCACTTGTTATATTTTTACCTGCCACAATAAATTTTATAAGGAATTAATGGGCATATTTCGGTTATAGTTTTTCAGGAAAATTAAAAATAATTGGTTCGACAATGTCTTGAATAAAATCGAAAACACAACAGGGCGGCAATTAGAAATGGGACATAACATTTCTGTTAAAGGGAAAAACATAATCCTAGTAGGTACTAGTCAAGATGACCTTCAGAAAATGAATACACAATGCTTGTTTAAGTTGTTTCATTCAGTATCTTTTTCTTCGTAAAAAAACTAGCACATATCCATACATTTTATATACAAGTCACTAAAAAGTATGAAAGCAGTTGAATATCGTGACAACGGTTTGTTGAATCTTTTTGAAATTTGGGCTACTCCTAGGAATAGTCAATTACTCATGTTCTTTTTTCTGCAATTTTTATACTTCCTCTGTTTTAGATGAACTTGTTTTTTTTTTAAATAGCACTAGTCGTCAAATGTTCCGTTTTTAAATAGTGCATTTTTTTCAGAATTCAGAAATGTAACGCATGCATTATTTTATTTTTTCCAAATATGGTAATACATACAAATTATTAAAACAAACATACTGAAAATCAGACAATCGTAGCCAACCTTGACAATACTATCACCTGTCATAGCCCTGGCGGTCCTGACGTAGGACACATTATTCAAAAATTATACTACTGCCCAATAATTGTAAAAATTATAGAACTGAGGGTACATAAACTGAAATAAAGGGGCCAGCGTAACATATTGATTTAAATGCTGTTTCCAAATAATCTATAAAATATTCTAGAAATAACAATACTCCGATTTAATGATTGTAAAAAATTACATTATTGAAAAAGGTTAACATTTAAAAAACAATAATTTTTTAAACAAATATTCTATTTACTTCCCGGTAATAGTAAATACGTTGCACAAAGTTTTCAAATGAATCTGTTAGAATATTAGACGGAATACCAGCAATCACATTTCATAATCTTTCTTGGAGTTCTTCAACGCTTTGTGGTCTATTACCATAAACTCGATTTTTTACATAACCCCACAGAAAAAAGTCAAGTGTGGTTAAATCGGGTGACCTAGCTAACCACTCGACGGCTCTCCTTCGTTCTATCCACCTTCCAGGAAAAGTTTCATTCCAGTAATACCGTATTTGCTGTCCGAAGTGAGCTAGTGCTCTAATCTGTTGGAACCATATGCACTCTGCAGGTAAATTTCGGTTTTCACTGTTGGGTATTTGTCAAATGTTAGATTTCCGGCAACCAATAATGCCACACCAAACATTAATTTTTTGTACCTCCAATTTTGTGTACGAACCTCCTCTACCCAGTGTGGATTTGTATTGGACCAGTATCTACGGTTATGGCGATTAACATGTTCATTCAAGCAAAAAGTAGACTCATCAGAAAATAATAATTGGTTTATGAAGTTGCCATCCTAATCTAGTCTGTCTGCCATTAATTCGCAAAATTCGATTCTGCGGGTCAAAGTCATCCTCACTCAATTCTTGTAGTAAATGAATTTTGTATGAATCATATTTTTCCTGTTTATGCCAATTGCTACACTGAAGTTTTTGGATTTTCAGCTACATCTAACATAATATTAAAAAAGTTCTCGTCATTTGTAACATGTATGTCTTCTGGTTCTTTAGACCATTTCTAACATTACCAGTTTTGTTCAATCTGCGCAATGTTTTTAAAACCGTCGACCTAGAGACTTGTTCTCGATTGGGATGAGTTTCATTAAAAAGTATTACTTCGACGTCTATTGCCATAGCCTACCATTGTCAAAATTTCTATTCGTTCAGTTTCTGTTAATGGTGCCATTTTTGTGTTTTATTGAAAGATTTTTAAACCTGGATGTTAGAAGTTTACTTTTCAATCCACACTTACAAATCGATGGCAGTATTTTGTAAGCTAACTTCAATTTCTCTATTTTAGAATTTATTCATTATAAATAATTTATCATTTTATTTGCCGTATTAGTTAAAAAAGTGTACGCATGCGTTACAGGTCTGTATTTAGAAAAAATGTTTCTATTAAAAAATTGACGATTTGACAAGTGGTGGTATTTAAAAAAAAAAAATTAGTCTTGCATCTTGAAAAAAAGTTTAGTTTAAAAAAATTACAGCAAATAGAGCTTGATATTTTTAAGTATAGCCCAAATTTCAAGAAGATCCACCTAACAGTTCCCGAGATATTCAACTGGTTCTATACTTTTTAGCATCCCTGTATGTTTTAACTGTTTTAAATCAGCAAGTCAATAATAACAATGAGCGCATCGTTCCAAAATTATCGTTCCTGCAATTCAATTATATATTATACTTACAAAAAATATAAATTAAGTGCCTATATTATCAGTCCATCATATGGAAAAAGAGAATCAAAGAAAAGAAAAATAATTTTGGCATTACCTATGGGAGTTCCACAAACGGAGGTGTTAGTTGACAATAAACGGGCAAATACATTTAGACTTTATGGATATTAGGTTATCACCAACACCATTTAGAATAAGTGTACAGAGCACCAAATTTTGTAGATTAATAACTAAAAGCTTGTTCATTAGTTTCATTAGTATTTTGTATGGAAATAACGGCTAACGTACTAATAAAATTTTTTAAACCTGGCGAAAAGTCACATTTACTGGACGGAATATAATAAGTTTTTCGTGCTTTAAAAAAGAGTTTCTTTTATGCGACCACCTAATTATTTTAAATGTTTCTGTAACTATTAAGCCGTTTATGTTACATACAAAACTACGTCAATCTTTAAACGTTTTAATGTAGTTAGCAAATGCAGCATCCTTGAAGGAATCAAACTTATCCACATTTCTAAATTAAAGTGCCCCAACGTATGTAACACTTAGTAGTATTTATTTGACATTTAATCCATCCAACAATGAATCAAAAGTTCATCAAATAAACTTATTTACGGTTTAAAAATAGCGGCAAGGAGTTCACATGTGTAAGAGAAAGCGTTTTTAACCTCAAAAATTGTAATAAAAGTTTGAATAATGTTGCGTACTGTTAAAATAAAATTTAATGTATCATATGAATAGCTATTTTTGTCAAGAATGCAGTGACAATTACAAGACCGGTCATTGCAAGAACCGCTTTGCAAAAATAGGTATTCATACACAAACACGATTACCCAATATCTAGTGTTTTTCTATTATTTTTTAATAGGATCGTATGGTACAAATAACGTATTCTAAAATTAAAAACAAACAAAAATCTTTTTTGGGTAACCGGAAGCGATTAAATATTCCGTCGTTAATACGTTATCCAATTTAAATCCAGTTTAATAATGTCAATAAAACCAATCGCGAAATTTTGATGTTCTCTATCCAAAAAAATAAATCGATTTGAGAGGAAGCGATAAGTAAGTTTTTTACAACCGGCAATTTATTACTACTGGTCGAATTCAAGAAGGCAATGTAAACAAAACGACTCCGATCCAACACTTACTCAGTAGGTACCAATCAGTTCCGGATTAATTAAACCCGTAATTTTGAAGACCCCCGAAAAACAATCCTAGTTTTTCCGCGAAAAGCCCAGAACGTCATCGATGTTGCAAGAAATATTGCAGCATGCCTTAGTTTTATATAACACAGCGTCCAATGACAGCTTTTACTTGTCTATAAAATTGTTATTTCATTCACACTCCTTCGTTCCGCCTATTTTCGTCGCGTACAACAGCCCGCCGAAGCCGTCCCCCAGGTGCACTACTCACAGTTTAGTGATGGAATAGGGCAGGTGCGGCACCTCGGTGAAGCCGGCTGTGCGACAGACGAACTCCTGCAGGTCCGGGGTGCACTGGCAGCGCTCTTCGAGGATGGCGCAGGGGGCGGTGGCGGGATCCGTCGGCGGCACAGCGGCCCCGAGGGCGGCGTAAACGGCGGCGGCTATCACCAGCACGGGACTCGCAGGCATGGTGCGGTGGCGCGCGATTTGACGGCGGCGCAAAGGCACCGGGCTCGCTCACACGACACTGCTTTCTCCACACTGCTCGCAGGACTACTGAACTGACGGCGATGGAGCCGTCCGACCGGTTTACCAGCCTGCCGATACCACGCGCCGCGCAACGCCGTCTCCAGGTGACGAGGAGCGTAGCCGAGACTTCCGAGGCCGGAAAAGACGACTCCGGAGGCTGGAACTCTGCAGGAACCGCGGGAGTCGAGCGACCGAAGAACAGGTTAAGTTTCTGGAGGCGCGCGAGTGCTCTGGTACCACATACTGTTGGCGTTTAGGTCAAGTATGTTTTTATGAGAGAACGTTGGGTTTGGGCGATCATCAGTCTTACAGGAAGCATGCATAGATTATGCCATATGTTTTTTCGATCTTTTTGTTCCCTGCTTCTCCAGATTTTTATAATACTCCAACATGTTATTTTCTGCTCTGTTTGTTTAGTTGATATTTCTAAATTTGGGATGCTGAGTTGACGAACCCAGCGATACTTTATCTTCGCATCTCAATTCATTGTACCTCTGTTTTCTTAAATTAATTAATTAATTGACCACCCATTCAATTCGGATACTCCCAGCGCAAATCTGAGTGCGGGAATTTCCTGATTTTAACTATGCTAAAACTGATTTACCCGAATATATATATATAGATTCTCTGTTAGAGAAACCACCTAACACAGGAATATCTTTACGTACTACTTATTCTTCATTGTCTCCACGGAATTGGAAACGACACCTGTCCTGCGTCAGTTGAATGAATAAGAGTGCAGTCGGTGATGATCTAAAACGGGTGATCAACACCTCTTTTTTATCACGCTTTTATTAGCTTGGGTTGTATCTATGTATGTATGTAACGGAATCTTTGAGCTTAATTTTCATCGGTTTCTAAAAGTCTGATCATCTTGAAACTTTGCACACGTCTCAAGGATCGATGACAATGCAATAATTTGATAACAGTTTCCCATTATCCTTATTAGGACCGCCAGGATCCTCGATCCTACGGAGACCACTGAGTGTTTCTTTCTAGAAAAATCTAAATAAGTAATTAATTCCCCAATTTATGAATTTGTCGCAGACTAAAAAATGAAAAATAAATAATAGTTTAAAAAACTAAAAAAACACGCTTTTATTGCTAATAGAACTAAAAACTAGAAAATAATTTTTAATGACAGAGTTTAATATTACAGTAGTAGAAGATCAAACAATCAATCATAATAAATCACCTCAAATTAAAATTATAATAAAATTTAAGTTATTAACAGAATAATTCAATTCAGAGTAAAAAGCGTGGGGTGCATTTTACTGCGGTTCATAACTATCCTCTCATAGATAGTTGCCAATAGAATGATTGTAATATTTAAAATATCAAGCACCCCACGCTTTTTACTCTGAATTGAATTATTCTGTTAATAACTTAAATTTTATTATAATTTTAATTTGAGGTGATTTATTATGATTGATTGTTTGATCTTCTACTACTGTAATATTAAACTCTGTCATTAAAAATTATTTTCTAGTTTTTAGTGCGATTAGCAATAAAAGCGTGTTTTTTTAGTTTTTTAAACTATTATTTATTTCATTCGCTTAAGCATAAGAAACTATCACGGGTAATTAGAAATCACTAACGGAGTAAACTTTGTATTTACATGTTTGATAAACCCGTATCTGCTGAATAAAATGACAAGTGTAAACACAAAAATAGCAAATACGAAGACAGGGTTTCAAGATGCGTCCCTCTGTAGTGACTCCCACCGACCAGGTTCATAAGCGAAAATCGGTCCTAGTTGCGGATAATAATGATCGATCAATTCCAAACTGGTGTAAAGTTGCACAAAAATGATTTTAGAAATGTCGTCTAAATGGTGAAATGCTAACGAAAATTTTTCTAATCATCTCCACGTGATGACATCCCTTCAAAATTTTATGCAATAAACATAACTTAAGTTTCATAAAATATTATACTCCCACACTTGCGTTTTGTGAATCGGCTCTGCTTTTGTTTATTGTTATTATAAATAATTGCTATTGTTTAAACATGTTTCTTATTTGGCCACATAATACACATCTACGTACCTGCCTAACTGATGTGTCAAGCGAAGGGCTTGCCTTAAAGATGGAAAGTCTTCGGTACGAATCCAGCAGAATTTCGAATTTTTATTCGATCAAATCAAGAACGACACACCCCATTTTCTCGACAACGTAAGAATCCAATACTGTTGTCATTAATAGTTTTACACCGGATTTCCTTTCCTTTGTAACGCATTCACAATTTTCCATGATTATGAATTTATGAGTATGATACATTAATCAATGCACTGAATGTAATAAACATAAAGTATGATCCATTTTTCACAGAAATTTCTAAAAGTGACACGTCGCGCCCAAATATAAACAGGCAAGCAACAACGTGTTCTTGACATTTCATGACCCACAGAGTGCTAAAAATTAAATCTCCTGTATCTATCTGTCTGTCTGCCTATCTGCTGTCTGGGGCAAATAATCTGGGAAACTACCGGACAGATTGTTGTCCAACTTTATATGTCTGTCAGAAATGTCGCGTAGATGGATTAAAATTGACATACATGTCCTTGCTGGAATAATGTTGATCGGAAAATTTTCAAATGGGAAAACTCACTAATACAAACAGCCTTGCCCTTTATCAATACATTTATATTTTTTGAAGCAATTGTTAAGTCGTTTCCTACCGTGGATTGGGACAAGGACATTCCAGTATAAACAAATATGTTTTCATAATATAATGCGTTCGAATCATAGACAGTGGCGGGGTATAGGTGATTCAAATATGAAACATTAATGAATACAAAACAAACAAGCTCTACAAGAATCTCTAAAAAAAATAGTGTCATTGAAAAAAGTTGCATCTCGTAAACAAACAAAAAAATTCTACGATATCAAAACACATTTAGCTTCTTACACTGTTATTGATATCTACTTATCTATATTTGTTTATTGCATAGAGGTTATCGCAAATAGAAGTTCGCACGACCATTTTTTTAACTTTCAAGCAGCGGGATATGTTGTTGGACTGTACTTCAGGGGAGAGGGAAGTCCTTTCGGAACAACCTTCGACCAATTTTTACTTCCTGAGCGTAAGCTAAGAATGTATAATATTCGAGCCCATTGGGCGACTGGTTGCTTTCAAATTTTCTCGATGTTTTCATCTCTCTGTCTGTCTATCTGTCCGCCGTTTGTGTCGATTTTTGTTAGACAGATCAAATTTTATTGTGTATCATGCTATCATGAATATCATACAGATATGATGCGTCACCTCAAAACTGTACATAGTAAATGGGTTTTAAATTGTATAAAATAACATAATCTTGCACTTGTAATTTATGAACCCGCGTTGAGTCAAAATGAGTTTTATACGAGAAGTCCAGATTTTAAAAAAAATTATAAAAATTATATAACAACATTTTGCAAATTGAAGAAATATTTTCTGAGACGCGCAGAAAGAAACGAACTATTTCGAATCATAGCAAGGGCAGACTTGAACCACACACCCTCAAATCTATCCAATATCGAAGAAATCCCCACACCTCACAAACTAGACAAAATAAAAAGTGGGCTGAAAATAAAACAACTTCAAAGAGCTTGACGAAACTCACATCAACAAGAAAATGTCATTGATTTGGCTCAAAAAATCAAGTTTATATGCCGCAACAGAAGGGTTTTTGTTTGCTATTCAAAACCAAGTAATTAATACCAAGAATTACAGAAAACATATATTATCAAAAATCTAAATATAAGAAACCATCGTCGTCCACTTTGTAAAGAAAAACCCGAAACGATTCAGCACATAACTTCATCCTGCAACATCTTGGCACAAACTGACTGCAAAACTAGACTCAACAACTCATCCAAAATCATTCACAAAGACTTAACAACAAATCTAAACTTAATCCAAGTAAAATACCAGACCTTATTATACTTACATTCCATCTCCATTCCTTGAAAACACCGAATACAAGCTATATTTTGATCGTATAACATATAATACAGATAAAATCATTGCAGCCAACGGACCAGATATCATACTTATAACAAAACACACCAATGAAGCCATTCTCATTGACATTCCTAGCACGTACAACATAATTCAAACATACCACACCAAAATTTCAAAATATCTACAATTATAATTGTAGATATAATAATATAATAATAGAAAGGAAGGCAATGCTAAATCTTGAAAAAAATTCATTTCTACCTTTAATTATATAAAATATGGTTGTAGTACCAAATAGTTTAGTTGAGAATTTTGAAATATTTACACCTAAATGATTCAATAATTGTCAAAATGCAAAAACTGTTTCGTTAGGAACATGTCATATTGTTCGTAAGTTTCTCGAAGAGTCTGATCATGTTAATCAGAATACGTTAGCACTAGTAGGTCAGGGTACTGTAGATCACTTTTCAAGTGATGCGCGGATAAAATAAATGATCGGTTGTTAGACTAGGCTCCTTGGGATGGGGTGAAATTAGAGAATAACACCAGACAAATTTGTATGCTGTAATAACAGGATTTCAAAACTTTTTGTTAATCTGATCAATACATATCAGTCATTACTTGATCTTAGTGCCCGTAACGATAGAAACGTTGTCTGATTGCCTGCCATTTCCGGGTCAGTGGTGGGTCCTATAATAAATAGTGCCTTATTTTCAACAGGTTAGACCTAAAATTTCTTTATAAAAAGTGGGACGTGGACCCAATGTCACGTATCAGTTGATATTTTATTTAGACATTAAGAACTTTTTATTTTGACAATAATGAAACATAAACGTCACAGAAGTCAAGCAACAGATTTTAAATTGCAATTTATGTGAGAATAAGACATAAAATCTACCAAAAATGGTTCTTACGTGTTTAATTCGAAGAAAATAACTCAAGTGGTGATAAAAATAAAAGTTTAGAATACAACAATGTGAAGAGGAGTTAAAATTCAAAAAAACTGATGTCTATGGCATCTACTAATCACCGCTCCGCTAGGATTTGGAAGAGTAAAAAAAATC